CCCAGCAATGTGCACTCACGGCCCAGAAAACCAACCGTGTCCTGGGTTGCATCCAAACTAGCGTGACCAGCAGGTTGAGGGAGGAGATTCTGCCCCTCTTCTCCGCTCTGGTGAGACCCCCCTGCAGTACTGCCTTCTGCTCTGGGGTCCTCAGCACAAGAAGGACATGGACCTCGTGAGCGTAAAGCAAGATGATCAGAGAACTGGAGCACCTCTCCTATGAGGACAGGCTGAGGGAGTTGGGGTTGTTCAGCCTGGAGAAGAGAAGGCTCCAGGGAGACCTTAGAGCCGCCTTCCAGTACCTAAAGGGGCCTCCAAGAAAGCTGGGGAGGGACTTTTTACAAGGGCCTGTACTGATAGGAGAAGGGGCAATGGCTTTAAACTGAAGAGGGAAGATTTAGATTAGATACAAGAAAGAAATTCTTCACTGTGAGGGTGGTGAGGCACTGGAACCAGTTGCCTGGAGAAGCTGTGGATGCCCCCTCCCTGGAAGTGTTCAAGGCCAGGTTGGATGGGGCTTTGAGCAACCTGGTCTGGTGGAAAGTGTCCCAGCCTATGGCAGGGGCATTGGAATTAGATGGTCTTTAAGGTCCCTTCCAACCAAACCATTCTTCAATTCTAATGTGTGGAGCTCTTCTGTTTGTAAAACACTTTCTATGACTAATTTTACTCTGTTTCAATGCAATTTATGAGGCATAAGATTTTAATAGCTCGCTAATCTTCATAATTTAGGTATTGGTTTTTTTAGTTTTTGCATGTAAATTCTGAAATACCAAAATCCTCTTGCATGTTGATTAGCACCTTGCTAATAATAGTGACCTTTCAGGTGGTATCTCAGCCACAGGTGACTGTAAGCTATTTGCAGACAATGAAAGATGGTCTCAAGAATTTACAGTTTAATTTTACAGTTTAAATAGGAAAACTGTAAGTTTCTGTCATGAGGAAAGTATTTACTGTGGGTAAAATGGAGATGCCTAAAGAACTTGATGCTTTGAAAGGGTATTGGATGTGTGCAAAACTTTTGGTATTTTTTCACTATATGTAAGAATTTCAGGCATCTTGCCATTACTGTATCTCAGTAGATTTCTACAGCAATATCACTTGAATTATTCATGTGCTGAGTTGCTGGTGCCACTGACTTTTAGGAACACTTCTTTGGATAAATGTGTCTGTTTTGCTGAGGATTAAAGAATGTCCCTGGAAGGTATCTTGATAGGCAGACTATATGCTGCTGTAAGTCTGTATCTTTTTAACAAAAAGTTGTGTTTCAGTTGTGGGATTCTAGTAGAGAAGATATAAATGAACACATCTGGAAGTGAGTAGGCTGTATAAAGCATGTTTATCTTGTTACTGAAAGATGGACTGACTGTGTGTGACCTCTTTTCAGATGTTAAAACACTAGTGGAAAGATGTCCTTTTCTCACCCATTTAGATCTAAGGTAAGAAGAGCTATGCAGCTAGTCCTTAAATCCTTACAGTTCAGGGGATTGCCAATTCTATTGCATTGCAGTAATTATATAGCAGTAATGCATAATTGTGTAGGATTGCACAACAAGAAAATACTTTCCATGCTAAACCTACAAAAGATTTGCTATCTGGCATGACCTAATTTGGAGCAGGTAACTAACTTGAAGACTTCTTGGTTACCTCATCATAAATGTTACATACACACAAGATTTGATAACTAACAAGTGATCGTAGTTGATAGGTAGAGTGGAAGGAAGCATTTAGATGCATACAGTTTATAAGTGTTGCATCTTAGAGAAGGTTTAGTTCAGCTCCGATATAAACTTGTTACTTGGCCAAAGAACTGTTAAAAAAAAAAGTGTATTTTGGTTTTGACATAGTCAGATAAAATATCTTGAAATCTCAATGTGTAAAGTAATTGTCTTTTCATGGCATGAGTTCTGCTGCAGAATGTCTGCCTGCAGAGGAGCTTCTGCTTCGCTTGCCCTTCAATGAAAATCAACATCCCTCCCTTGCAACACGTACACACTAGAAATGGGTTATTTCCTCATTGAGCAAAAAAATATTTCAATGGTAGAAAAAGAAATTGATATTCATGAAATTTCTCAGCCTGGATTTTGGAAATACTGAATTTACTGCTGCTTTATACTTAAACCTCTATTTCATGTGCTTTCATGTACAGTGACAGTGTGATGTTAAAACCTGAGTGCTTCCAGTATTTTCATCAACTCATCTTCCTACAACATTTGTGTCTTAGCCGATGTTATCAGATATCACTTGCTGCCTTAGTGTAAGTAATCTCTAAATGGCTTTGGTTTGCTATTCATACAGAGGACAATTTAATTTAAACTTGCTTTATTTTAGGTTTAGAATTGCAAGTACTGTTTTGAAAAACTTACTGGTATGAGGAATTAGGAATAAGGAACTGAGATAAAATAACCTGATTGCTAGAGCATATACCTTTCAGAATCCAGACTGGAACCAAAGGTATTTTGAGATAATCTTTCCATGATGTCAGTCTGTACTCATGGAACTTGCTGCTCACTGCATGCATCGTGTCTTCCCTTAATGGCATGATACTACTCTCATTACTGTGAGATATGGCTGGAGGTTCCAGTCCTGCCAATGACCAGTATCTGTGTCAACTATTAGGCTTTCAGTTACGCAGCAAGGAAGGTATAGTCCTTTGGAAAAGCTAACAGTTGACAACACTTGCTGACTAGCTAACCTGTTTATATTCCTTTGCTTTTGTGTGCACCTGTATCAGTTATTGGTTGCCACTGAAACACAGCTTAGGGTTACTTGCTTGTGGGCTTTCTCTGCCTTTTATTAGTACAGCATCTACCCATGTAAATCCTTTCAGGAAGGATGTCAATCCTAAGGTAATCATCAACAACAAGAAAAAAGTTGTGAGAGGAAAAGCACTATCAAAAGGGGAATCTGAAGAACCTTTTCTATAGGACTGTGCGCTGTCATGATGATAGCTTGTGTGTCTGTGCCTTTCGATTTTTGTCCAGTACTTGCTTATAGATACAGATTTCACATGATAACTGGGCAAACATGAAGAAATCAGGAAGCCAGGGCTGGCTACTCACTAAAACATCATAACAAATTGGAAACTGATAGTACCTAGGGGCTTGTGTCCTCTGAGCCACATCCTGAAACTTCATCTGGGGCAATTCCTTCCACTTGCTCTAAGTATTTAAGTCCAGGGAAATGGAAGGGGAGGAATCAGTTCGTTTTCACTCTGTGAGAGAGAGAATAGCAAGAAGCAATTTACTCAGCTGGTTTCCTGAATTATCAGTACAGAGAACTAGTTTCAATTAAATACGTGCTTTTAAAAAGTAGGAAGGGGAATTTAGCTTTAGTAGTTACTTTACTTCTAAAAAATTAGTAGAAATGCAGCTATCTAGTTTGGGTACAGACTGTGAAAGAAAAAAATGTTTCCAGGTTCATGATTAATTTCGTATTTTTCTCTTTCTAGAGAACTTGGTGAAATTCCAACGTTAAAGACTCTTCAGGTATTTGGAATAGTGACAGATAGCTCCCTACGGTTCCTCAGGGAATCGCTTCCTAACATGAAGATCAATTGTTCACACTTCACAAGTATCGCAAGGCCAACTGTTGGCAATAAAAAGAATCGTGAGATTTGGGGCATCAAATGCAGACTGACACTGTGAAATCCTACTGGCTTATGATCATGTACAATGGACTGGATGCGATGGACATAGTGTGAGTAGTGAAGCTCCATCAGAAGCAGTGCTGGACCATCTTTAATCATAGTATTGTTACTGTAAAAAGCATTCTAACTGGGTCTTAGTCCTTAATGTAGTTTTATAAATATTTTTACAGTATTTACTTTAGAAATATGATGATCTGTGAGCAATTGGAGAATTTTCTTTCTTTTTCACAGGGGAGCTTTTTTTAACACACACTGTTAAACAATCATTGTTAATTAAACAATGTCTGCCTCTAGCAACTGTTGCAGGTTCTGATGCAGCTTTTGCTCTAAGGTGTGCTAAAGGTGCTTTTGGTTAACTCTTTGAGTTCTACAACTCCTGAAACAGCTTGTAGAGGTGCTCGGTATCTTAATAAGGCTTAAGGAATTGTCTTCATCTGAGTTTGCAGAACTGAAAATGAGTAATCATAGAATCAAATAATTGTTTAGATTGGAAAGGACCTTTAAGATCATTGAGTCCAACCATAAAACTAAAATGGCCAAGACCACTAAGCCATGTCCCTAAGAACGTCTACATGCCTTTTAATGGTACTAAACCTACTCAAGTACTTAATTGAACAAGATGTACAGTGATATGAGAAGCTACCCACTGTGAGAGGGACAGAAGACTGAGTCTTGAATTCACCAAACCTGTAAAACAGTAAATAGGGAAGGGATGTCTACACAAAAGCAGCTAAGAGACCGCTTAATACTGTACAAGTTAAGAAGCAGTATAAAGGCACTGCAGTGAAGTTTTTCTTCAGCAGGCCACAAAGGTAACATCTGTCTTTTAGTATTCTTCCTTGTTAGCAAAATATAGTCTGAAAAGCCCAGCAGAATAAGCATCTGTGAAAGCAGATGCGGGTTATCAATTGTTTCATCTTGTGGTGCTAGGTTTTCTGATTAAATATTACAGAACTGTAATGTAGTTTCTGTGAGCTTGACTTCAGATAAAACTTCCTAAAAGCATTACTTCCTTTAAAGAATAAGATCTTTCAATGGCAACTGATAATTTGGCAAAACGTTGCAGGAGGACTCAAATGGTTCTAGATCTCAGATCGAAAACAAAACTTGGGACTGCAGCATAAGAGTGCTGAAAGGAAGAGACGCTTTTGCTACTAAGACATCAATTTCTCCTTTATAGTAGCTTATGTTTGTAGTATCATTTCACTTCTTGTGTCTGTCACACTAACCACAACTGACTGATGTTGGTTTTTAAGTTGTATGAAAAGCAGAGTAACTGAAGAAAAGAGTTCAGCAATAAATACATGGTAGTACAGAACAATTACTGTGGAAAGATTGTGCAAGTACTAAACTTGATATTTAACTTGACTTTCTGTATTATAGCAAATGCAGCATTATCTTGTTAATCTGTTCTAAGTTGTTTTGGTTCTTATTAAATTTAGCAGAGTGTAAGTAATACTTGACTCAGTAATGGGCTTGTGCCCCTTACAAAGGAGTTAACGGGGAACATACCTTGTGAAAGCTGGAGTGGAGAAGTGGTGGGAGGTTGGAGGATGCTAGATATTCTACTGCTTCACAGTGTGCAGCCTTAGGTTTATGCCTTAAGTTACTTCAACAAAAAAAGATCTTTGCAGCACAGCACTATTGTAAATTCTTCTTCTCCCTATGCACAATGTAACCCCACACAACTTCTCTTGCATTTAATAAAGATCTAAGGAATTGCTGTATTGTACAAAATGACTAATGGATGGGAGAACACTATCCCTGACTTGCCACCAACTTTGTGTCATGGGTTAAAAAAACCCAGAAATTTGTCCAAGCAGTGTCTAAACAATGGTGGTTTAGAGGACAGGGTGTTATCACCAACACATTTAGCATTTAATAGACTTTGCTTTAAAACCCTGTACAGAATTGGGATAGTAGTATGGCTTTAGCTAGAAGGAATAGTCCTGAACTTTGTTTTTTAAGTACCAGGTTCAGTGTTGGAAAAGGACAAACATTTCTATTGCAGATCTATTGGTTATGTGGCAGCTGTAGCAGACACATAAAGTCCGTCCTCTGGGTAAGGTGCACCACTGACCTTTTCCTAACTGAAAAAAGTTACTTGGTAGCTCCAAGCAGTCCATACCAAGAACTGCTACATATGTAAGTCTCTCTATTTTATCTAAAGCATGGAGGCTTAGAAACCATTATTTAAAACAAACTGCACAGTGAGCAGAAGCTGAGCAGATGAACATTTTTGAAAGCTGAAATAAGACACAGGACTGCTTCATCTATCTATTAAGTTTTTAATTTTTATTACATAATGTATAAACACTTTTTTAAAAAAGCAAAGAATGACAGGTCTAGTTTAGCAGAACACAGTGTGGACTGGCATTAAATGAAAAGACCATGGATTTGATTCAGCAGGGAGAAGAGGTGCAGAGTTCGTGGCCAGTCCAGGCAGATTAATTCAGTGTTAAACCAAATACTCAGTCCTGTCACAGAATACCATCTACCAGGTAAGTTGTCTGTACTGCAATCCTTTGTAACAAAGGATCTTTAAAAAGTATTCTACACTTTAACAAAATAAGGTATCTGCTTACCTGTTTATCTATTATAGATCTCTGAATCATCCTAGTTACTTAAATCAAGCACTCACCAGTAAATGCTTCAACAGAAGTGCAATTAAATAAAGACAAAACTGGTAGAGGCCACTCCTGAGTAGGTCAGGTTTCCGTTTTCCTAAGAAAGTTAGGAATTTGACTGTGAAATCTCTTACTAAGCTCTAAATGAGATCACACTTTGGGTCTGTAGAGCCTGGAAACATTGCTTTTTAGTCACAATTTGTAATAAGGAATGACAGGCATCTTTAAGAGTTATGCACCCTGATCAGACTAATCAGTCTCCATTAAAACATTACGGCACACAAATGTCTCTAAATAGGGGACAGAGTTTCTGCCATAAATTTGCCTATGTGGGTATTCAAGGACAGTTTCAATGCCTCAACCTCTCATCTAACACAGTGGTAAAGTCCTAGGGAGTCATAATTGAGTGTTAATGGCATTGATGGTGGGGTGGGTTTGTTTTTTTTTAAACTTGACAGCATATTGACTAGGGTACTAGACAGAGGCACATAAATCATCTGTAATTGGTTACAGATGGATTAGGAATAACTAAAACACTCTAGTCTCTGTGCAACAAACTTTCTTTAGAAAGATTGGTCTTTTGCACCTTTACCTTTAGACCAGTTTTGCAGGTTACTTTAGACATTAAGAGCTTTATTCTGATAGTTCCTGAACTTACCAAGTTCTGAAAAAGTACTTGGCTACTCTGATTTCTGGTGCCCCCACCCCACTTCTGGTCTGCAATCATGGTAGCTCAAGCAGGTAAGTGTAAATAACTCAATCTGCAGCACATTTAAAAGGTGAAATGTACACAAACAATGACAGCTTATTTTAAAAGTTCCATCAGTATCACATTTTTGTAGAATTGAATGGCCTGGTCAAATCGCTTTCCTCTAAATTCTGGTTTAGAGTGAATCCAAACACTTAAGTAGTAGAAGGAAAAAATCCTTTATCCACATCCTCTGCATATAAAGATCAGTTTACATTTTGCGATTGGCAATAAATACACTGATTGGCCACACTGGAGAACATTTCCATTAGACCTGAGAACATCTGTTACAGAAGTCTCTTCATTCAAAAGTAGTTTGAAGAAAACTCACTTTTGGAAATAGATCTGTAGTAGATAGGACAAAACACAATTATTTTTTTTTCAAGTCATGTAGCAGAAGAGTTCCTGCTGCGGGAATCTTCATCTTGTCAAATTCTGCCCCCTCTATGCAATTATTAGTACAGACTTTCAAAGGCAGAACTGTAGTTCACAGTTTCTCTAAAACATTATCTAAAAAGTCACTTCCTCTTCTATATCGGAGCTTTTTTTGCTATTATCAACTTGCTTACCTAACACATGATCAGAGGCATGTAAAATTAAAATTAATTTATTGTCAATTAAATATCAGTAGAATTCAGCATAGGACTGGGAATTTCAACTCTGTGGAAGTTAAAAACACATACTTGGAAAACTGGGATACATACAGGTATTAAAACTTGTGCTCCAACTCCTAGTACCCAGCCCATCTCATTCTTCTTTAATTTATAAAGAAACTCAGAACCTAAAATTCCAAACCATTCAACTTAATAAGGCCAAATATCTTTCTTAATGATAACCACCTACATACACTACTGTGACAGAAGACCTAGTAGCCAGCGCATCCATTCAGTGAAGGAGTATATCTTTCTTCATTCAACATGTCTCCTATAGTTTGTATATTCCTATTAAAGGGCTCAACAAAACCCTTCTGTTTCAAGTCCTTCTTTAGCCAAAGAGAAAAGGTAAGAGCTACCTCACTCAAGATGTGATTAAACCAGATTTTTGATGTAAATCTACAAAGTAGAAAAAATACTGAAAGAGGAAAAAAACATTGTCACAAGTTGTATGAAACTACAAAGTTGTAAAATTTTTGAAAAGCATACAAAAGTTTTGTATTTCCATTTCTGTTATGTCAACATCAGGATTTACCAAAATCTATATATCCTTGCATCAAATTGCTAGATTGACAGTCAACTTTTCTACAAAAGTGTATGTATGAAGGTGTTTAGTTTCATCAGTCCCAGACTGTTACTAAAAAACTGTACATCTGACTATTTAATGCTACTGACTTAATACTTGAACCCATCTATCTGTGTTTAAAAAGATGTTCTTTCATGTTTGCCTTACAGGTTAAAATGTCAATTTTCACTGAAGTTAGAGGTAAGACTTCAGATATATCTCTTTTACCTCTTTTATCTCTTTTTTTCTATGCAAAAAGAGCTTAAATATCAAGCTAAGGTTTCCCCAACCTAAAGGAAGCTTCCTCCAAATGCTCTTGCATCCAAAAAGGCCAACTTCCAACATAATGCAGCATTGTGACGTGCTGTCTATTTCCAGGAGTTCCCTCTCTGGATCCAGAATTGTTTCATCAGAAGACACTAGGGTCCTTCATTCTTCCAGCAGAACAGTGCACAATGCATCCTCTGTATCGATCATTATTGAAGCTATTGCCCCATCATTGAACTCAAAAGATGTTCCTCCATCTACAACCATACAGGCATCCCAACAACGGGAACGGACACAGACTCTGCAAAAACCCAAAAAATAAGTTTTCACAAAATAGCTTAAAAAAATTAAGTATTTCACACAACCGCTTATCTGAACAATAAGACTGGTTCTTGGACATTGCTTTGCACGGGTCAGTAAATGCTTAATCACATGGGAGCATACTTAGAAAAGAATTTAGCATAGTGCTAAGCACTAGAATCCCCCAACATATTCAGTACTTTGTATAGACTTAGCAGAGAGTCTGGAGAGGACTGAAGGACTTGTTCAAATGGAGACTATTGCTGCAAGAATCTGAAAACAACCTGTAATATAAGACTTGATAGCAAAAGCTGCAGTTTAGGTGTTTCTTTTTTTAAAGAAAGCTACTGATGATCTCATTTAATAGTGATTTACTTAATCATTCACAGAAAAGTTTTCAATTAATTTGTGGTTCTAATGTATGGTCTTCATGTTAAGTGGAACATGCAGTTTCAACTACCAATGCTTGAGATTCAAATAATCTGGATATTGATATAGTCTATTTTGTTACATGAATCATTCACAGAGAGAAGGGAAAGTAATTTCAAACACAGAGTTGAAAGTCAAAATGCTTGCCAGGCAACATTATAAATAGGTATTGCAGCATATTACTGTCAATATTAGAGTCTGACTACTTTAAGCTAATAAATTTACATTTAAGCTTATAAAATTTAAGGCAGGTCTTTTAGAGCTAGAGAAGACAGAATAAAGTAACTAACCATCTTCCTTTTATTTACCTTTAAAAGGAAAATTAGCTCAACCATTGGAATTTATCCTTGCCCATATGTAGAAAGCAAAAACACTATTAAGTAAAGAGTTCTCCAAACCTTTTTTTGTATTGCTAGATGGGAACCAATAGTTATGCCAGAGCAGCTGCAAGACTGCAGTCTCACATGGATGTGACTGTTTCTGACTTAGGCCTCAGTCTAGACAATGTTCTGATCTCCAAAATTTAATCAACAGTTATCCAGTGACTTAAACTTTCAGGAAGACACATCTTTCACAAGTATGAAAAGTTTGGAAGCACAGCCACAGTGTCAAAGCTCAATTGGCCTGTGCATCACTAAAACACAGCCAAGTCTGGACAGTGCAGAAGAATATGGAGGCATGTTCCACTCTTCCATTTCTCTGGGCAGCTACTATGTCAAAAAAAAAAGATAAAGACCAGCAATGGGGAGATGTCTAGTACCAAGAGCTAAAAAGGCAGCAAATTTTATTTGAAAAGGAAAAATGGGCAGATATTCCTCACAGGTATGCAGACATTTGTAGCTCCAGTATAGTTTTTATAGTACATCCCATGCTGAGGACTCTAAATAAGACAAGACTTAATCCTGTAGAGCTCATGGATGAAAATGCAGTTATTTGCTCCTATTTTAACCTCTTGTCTTACCATCTCTTAAGACTTACTCACCCTTGAGAACTCGCAGATCAAAATGAGTAAGAAGCAGTAAACATTTGAAGACATGACACATATACAGTGGGCTTCTAATATCCTAATATTTAGTCCCAGTAGCCAGAGATGTCCTTTATTACTAGGTCATAAAATGTTGTAACGCTGATGTGGCTCAAAAAGAGAAGAATTTGGGACTCCTTCAAGTCAAAGCTCCTTTAGACATGTTTTGATATAAAAGGTTGAATTCACATTTAATTAATACTGAGATTGTATTGTTCTCAACATAGCTATTATGAACATATAACTAAACGTTGCACATGTTTATATTTAATTGTGGGAAGCTCCAGAAAAATCATAGAATCATTTACGTTGGAAAAGACCTTTAAGATCATTGAGTCCAACGTTAACCTAGCACTGCCAAGTCCACCACTAAACCATGTCCTGAAGCACCACATCTACACACCTTTTAAATACCTCCACGGATGGTGACTCCACCACTTCCCTGGGCAACCTGTTCCAGTGCCTGACAACCCTTTCAGTGAAGAAAATATTTCCTAGTATCTAAACCTCCCCTGGCGCAAGTGCCCTAAGTTAAAATTATTGAATTACCAAGTAATTTAGTTTGGAAGGGCATCTAGTCCAACCTTCCACTCAAAGCAGGCCTTACTTCAAAGACAAATTAAGTTGCTTAGGGCCTTGCCCAGTCAAATTTTGAGTATCTCCATGGACAGTGACGGCACAATCTCTGGGCAACCTGTTCTACTGTCTGACCATTCTCACTGTGAAAAAGTTTTCCTTTCTTCATCAGAATCTTACATCCTATAAAATCATGACTATTGCCTCATATTCTGCTCCGAAAACAGTTTAAGTCAGTCTCCTCTATAACCATCCACCAGTAGCTGAAGACAGCAACTGGATCCACCCTGCTTAGTCTTGTCTCGTCCAGGCTAAACAAAAACACCGTTTCAGTCTCTCCTTTATACACCAGGTGTTTTGGCCCCCTAATCAGCTCAGTGTCCCTTTCCTCAATTCATTCCTGTTTGTCAATGCCTGTGTCTCACACTGAGGGAAATGGCACACCCAAAACCAGGCATAGTGAGATTCTTTCATTCTGTAAGATTGCGCACAGATCGAACATTAAAAAGGGGTAACACAACTGGGAAACATTTTCTTCCTGTTTTTGTGAGAACAATACTCAAGCCCCTCAAACTGGATGTTGAAATACTTCAAGGAAAACTCCTGGATTACTCATACTTTGACATATACACAGAATGGAATAACTCTTCAGTGACTGCTACAGCCAACACTTACTTTGAAGAGAAGCCACGCTGCCGGCTACTTGAGAAAACTCTGTTTACAATAGGTTCTCGAATACTGAAAAACATCTTTGGTTCTTCTGGACTGTAGAGCAGGGACTCATTGTAATCATTTGTTACTGTAAATAGAGAAGTCAACCATTAGTTTTTCCAGAGAAAATTAGTTATTCTCAGAAACAGACATTCCTCCAGGAAAGAGCAGCTTCCCTACCAAGAGGGAATATTGAGACTTACCAGATGCTTAATAGCCTTCACCTGCCAAAAAACACTAATTTTACAGAAGATTCCTTTCAGTTCTATTACATGATGAAGACTCAACAGCTCTCTTCAGGTGATTAAATATTAAGTGTCTCAAATCTTAGAACTGAAATTCTCCTGAAGATCTATACATAAGAAAGTCTAAGTAAGAGGTTTCATATCAAGTCATTTTTCACCAAATGTGCCTACATGTTTATAAGAAAGACTAATATAGCAAGAGCTCTAAAATACTGAAAACAGTGCTGAGTATTAAGAGTACAAACAAAATGAACTGATCAAAGTTAAGATACCTTAAAAGAAATCTTGCCTTTTTCACTAACCTTTTTGTACTAGTTCTGTGTTCAATGGTGTATTCCAACTTCCATGCTTTTTAGCTGTTGAGCCAAGAGAAAGAGCCCCAATTAGACAGGTGTATCTTTATAGAAACTTGGCCAGTAATGCCACACTGTTCACTCACCGATCTTAAGGATCTCTTCAACAGCTTGATGTGCTACCTTGTTAATATTATAGGACCTAGACAGAGAAGTAGAAATCTTGTTTGCTAAGCAATATAACTTGTGAGAAAAACAAACCAAAAACAAAACAAAAAATCCTGCATACAGATGAAGAACTATGTTCAACGTCAGGAAGAAAAAAAGATACAGAATGTGTTTGTGAGCTGACATCAGTTTCTTAAAAAAATGCCTTAAATTAACTCTTGGTTTGACATCTACCTATGGCTTTGTAAACCTTAATAATCCATTAAGTGAGGTCTTCAAGAAAGAAGAGCATGATACACAGGATGTAGTCTCCGTATCGATAATCCTCCTGCCTTAAAACCCCAATAACTGTTGACTTGAGTCTGCATTAAAAAAACTGAAGCATGCCAGTTCAAGACTGTGTGTGTTCTTATTCCTTCTATCCACCTCTTGCGAATTTTTTCCTTCTGTTAGTTCTCATTTATGAGATCTAACACTTCTTTACAAGTATCATGCCTCTGTCTGTACCCAAGGTGTCAGCCTGAATCTCACTAAAATCAGTGCATATAGAAAAGGAACAGTCAGATCAGACACTTTTGCATTTGCCACATTTGAATGCACAACAAGTCAGCATAAAGCCTCAGTGTGAACCAAGTGTAAACTCCAGTAAGGCTCCTTCCTGTGCCCAAGCTCAAAAGGGATTAGGTACTAATCAGAGCCTCCATGCAGCAGTACTGCGAACATCTCAGTTGTCCAGGTCTCAATATAGCTTAAATCCTCAGTCCAGCATTTCTGTCATGGCAATAAAACACCTCAGACTGCAACAGACATCCACTATACATCTAACTGACCACAGAGCTGCTGAGGGTGGTTGTCCAAGGCTCTTTCTCTTACACTACTGCCCACCTGCAAGCTTGAGCAGATGCTAGCAAGAAACAGATGCACATTTTGAAACTGTTCTCTCTCTCAACTAGATATCCTTTTATGCAAGTTTTGGCAGCTGAAGGAAGCACTGAGACATTTAAATGCCTCTCAGTCCGAGGAGATCTGAAACCCCAGGAGAGCCCCTAAACCACGGGCTAAAGAAGATCACTCCACTGAGGCTTGGCCTCAGTTTAGAGAAGTCCAGCAGTACACACTAATTACAGCAATGAAGATGGGCAGTCCTGGTGTCTGGTCCTTGGTTCTGGAATTGCTCAGTACAGCATGTATAAGCAAATGAAATGCATAAGAACAGCTTCGAACCAACACTCTGCATTTCCAAGGTACTGAACACTAGGAAAGTTCCCCTAGCAGTCTGCCAATTTCATCCTTGGCAGCCTCCAGAACTAAGTTACGCTGACTGAATACAAAATTCTGAATTACAATGAAGAGTAAAACCCAGTAACCATGGTTACAGCATGAATATTCAATTTTGAATTTCATTAACAGCTTCAGTTTTAGTTCTTCTTAGCCCACCACATAAATCCAGGGCCTGTTGTACAGCTTTAAACTATAAGCACAGCCAGATTTCCAAACGAAAGAGGCTCTCACTGTACAGATCACTCACATCTCAAGACTAAATTGATTAGACTTATATATAGTACTGCAGCTTGTTTAAACTGAAATTAAGATAATTTACCCCTTTGATTAAGCTAGTACAGCTCTGCTTAGATATGCCCGTCTTTGTTTAAGGGGAATATTTTGGCAAAGAGACTGCGCACTTTCAATTAAGTTTGAAAGAGGCAGGAGGCTTGGAAGGAGAATGGACCATAGATGTGCCAGAGAATACTTAACATTGTTTCCAAGCACATGTTTTCCCTTTCTCCTTAGAGCTTAGATTTTTATAAGTTTTCTGAGCTACTTCATCTAAGCATTTTATTTTTAGCGAACAAGAGTGGTTCACAGATCCCCCCAATACGCTCTGCAAGTCAGAGCAGAATCTCACTGCAACCATTCATCTCCACGTGCAGCATGCAATCGCTTTCACCAAAATTACACGTAAGGTAAACTTCTGTCTCAATGCCTCAGCACCTCACCCTTTCAAGTCTTCTCTCCATACCAACATGAGTGGGATGCTCTGCTCTTCTCATACACCTGAGACAGCTTTGAATCATACTGACAGTCAGAGTATTTGCACGTAACTAACATGTACTGACTTACCCATAGCCCAAGAGAGTCTCAGTATAGACAAAATGCTTAAGCAAAATAGGTCCATCTAGCTTATCTGAAGTGATGTATCAAAGCAGCAACATGTACTTACCATGCTTTTGATCCTGTTCCAGTACACACATTAAGCCCTGAACTCTTCTGTTTTTCCCAAGGACCATCATCAACTGATATCTCATAATAGGAGGCCCTATGAAGCGAGAATTTAAAACTGGGTTTGCAGGACTTAAAGTTCTCCCTGAATAAGACAGAACACATAGCCTTATCAGGCACATAAAAATTTACAGGGGCTAGTTTCAAATCTGGATGACAATTTCACAGGCTTTCCAAAGAATTTCCAATTTGGCAGCCACTTTTGATTCACTGTTTTACAGCACTTTTTATAATGGACAAGAGTAATGTGCAGCATGAACTTTTAGGCAGTTTTTCTGCAGCCACTTTTCGTATTAAATTATGTATAAAGAACTCTGTGGTTCATCTGAGAATAGCTTCCTATACAAGCAGGGTTTGCTGGACTTACAAATGAAACTACAAATACATTACCTTACTTGAATAATTGCTGAGCTACTGAGAAACTATGTTTATGCTGTGACTGGGTCTGACAAAATTATGTCAGGGAACGCTAAGATGTAAGGCACTCCAACATCAGTAAGTAATAGTGTGATTTCAAGATGAATTCTTGATCACTTCACCAATTAAAAATCCACTGTGATTCTTCACGAACAGTTTTAGTTTTACAACAGTCAGCAGGCTTATGTTTCTCTCCGGGGCAAATTCTTCCTAAAACTCAAATGTAGTAAGTCTTGGGGCCCAATCATTATTCTGCATGGTATTATTCATGTATCAGGGAATTCCTAATGTTAGGCCTAGAGAGATCAGACAGTCTCTCTCTGCAAGCTTCAGAACATCCAGGGGTATATCTATGAACTCAAGCTCTGAGCTGGGGAGGGACTTTTTACAAGGGCATGTACTGATAGGACAAGGGGCAATGGCTTTAAACTGGAAGAGGGAAGATTTAGATTAGCTATTACGAAGAAATTCTTCACCGTGAGGGTGGTGAGGCACTGGAAGAGGTTGCCCAGAGAAGCTGTGGATGCCCCATCCCTGGAAGTGTTCAAGGCCAGGCTGGATGGGGCTTTGAGCAACCTGCTCCGGTGCAAGCTGTCCCTGCCCATGGCAGGGGCGTTGGAACTGGATGGTCTTTAAGGTGTCTTCAAACCAAACCATTCTCTGATTCTATGTTCATAGTGCCTAATTCAAACAGTATGACATAGTCTTCAGATTAATAGATACCCTCTTAGAAAAACACCACATTCACTGTGTTCAGCATGACTGACTTTCACTTTTCCCAGTGAAATGAGCTTACTGAGTTGTCTTATGTGATAAATGGTTCAGTCTGGATCAACTAGGAATACGCCTCTTGAATATCTGGTGTCAAACAGTTTAGACTCTTAGTAACTAAAGGCATTTTGTGTACTCACTCTTGAGAAGATGGGAAGATGAAAGAACTGGAAGCAAATTAAGAACACAGGTGCACAGCTTGATTCAGTTTAAGATAATTTTTGCAAGCTGGGTATGAAAGGGTTTTTTTTTTTCCTTCAATTTCCTTGCTTTCTTAACTGACATGCAGAATAAGACACTGGAAGAAGCACCTAGAGTCATTTTTGTCTTAATATACAGCAGACTCCTGTATTTGAACCTTACAGAAGATTCATCAGTGTGACATTATTTAAGTCTGCAAGTGTAAGGTCCTATTAACACAACATTTATTACTAGAGATTTGTTCCTACAGGCATTGTGTTCCTCAGTGCTTCTCAAATATATTGGAACCAAAGGGCACAATGTTATTTGTGACGGTCAGAAGTAGAGGGCTGTTACAAAGTGTTGGAAAGCAGCTTTGTGTTCCTCTATCATTTTATGTTAAAGAAACTTTAGAATCTTGATAAAATTAGGTTTGATTTAACAGAGAGCAAAATTTGTATCTCTTTGAGACTAATTCCTTCTGCCAGTCTGAGGCTGCAGTCCAGATGGAACACAAAGCACTCATGGAACATTTATACTGTTTCCAGCAGCAATCACAGTGTCCCAGGCACTGTACAAACACAAGAAGATGTTACACTCTAAAGTTAAAAAAAAAAATAAATATACAGACTAAAGGGAAAAGGGATATAAAATACAAGCAAAAGTCTGACAAAATCCTGATCAAGGGTGATGTTTTAACTCCTTTCCCGCAGCCCCAATCACATTCCCCACATCCTTCTTGTTATTTGGCTGGCAGAAATACATTGATCTTCAGGACAGAAGGGACAGTCAAAAGTATCCTGGATAATACTGTATCAAGATTTGATACAAACTCATTTCTTAAAACAAGGAAGTAAGTGTTTTCCCACAATAACAAAGTTTCTGCCAAAGGCAGGCTGATACCTTTCCCTCTAATGACAGAGAGGCAGGGAAAGGAGTACTTGGTCACACTAAAAGTTACTTCTGCTTGGTCATGCTAAAAGCTTATGAAAAGATACTTAAAAGAGATGCAGGAGAAGAGCCAGTTTAAGGACAGATATTTAAATCTTCAATCCACTGTTAAGATAGTAACTGAAGGCATTTGGTTACATAAGAACTAACCAGGAAAGGAGTAAAACAATGAAGAGGAAAGAAAACAGCCAGGAATAATGAAAGATGAAAGAATGGCCAGACAGGATGGTGGAAAACAAGAAATAAACATCACTGCACTTACATCTCTGAAAATACACTTTGTAATCAGCAACAATACAATCAGTGTTACATATTCATGGACTAGAACTGAAATTTGACAGCAAAGACATCCCATCACTGATTGTCCATTGCAATGTCATAAAAAGAAAATAAGTCAATTGTGCCTTGCTGCAACAACAAACAATTAAACATACCTGGATGAAAGAGATTCCCCAATGAAGACTTCATTGAGTGCTCTCACTGGTAAAAGATGCGGACCAGAAATGTCAGATCCTGCAGAAATTGAATGTAACAGTTTTGAATCATGGCTCTAAAGCCCAAATTTTCAAAACCAATTTACAACTCAGTGGAGGACACACTCTGCTGCCTGGGTTTGTTCTCTACACCCAGTGCTCCATTTTCTTCAAGGACTTAATTTTTCACTGATTTAGTCTGTAGCCCATCACTGTCCTTCAGTGGAGACTACAAATATTTGAACCAAGGTCAATAAGGCAATGACACATGTTCAGACATTGCTTTCCCTGAAAACTCATGGACAACCACACAGATTGAAGTCTTCCCTTCTGTCAGTCAGTCACTCTTCCAGCCTAGTTAAATTCACTGACAGTGACTTAACAGACATTTCTGATAAAGTTCAAAGAATTAGACTTTATACTACAGGGTAATTAAGGGGAATTAACAAATTGTTCATGTTGACTAAGGACTTCTCAGTGAGGAAATGCAGTGCTAGACACAGGTTAAGGACAGAACCATGCATCTTCAATCCATCAAAAAGAAAACAGTTGATGGTGTCTGATGACCCAGGGAGAGATTCTCACTTCTAATTTCTCACTTGCTTGCTGGCAGTCTGTGACCAGCTCCTTCAATTCTGAAGTAACCTACCTCAAATTTAGCACAAGTTAAGAGCACACGTGCGCACTCACACCCACACACTTGTAGTGTGCAGCAGCTAAACGCATGGTAAAATGTTCATGTGGTAACCCCAAGTGTCTATAGCAACCCTAAGAAATGGCATTTTAAAAAAGCTCAGGTATTTTGCCAGCAGATAATACAATTTAAAAATATCTCTAAATTAATTGTTAATACTGAAAACTGCTTCTAAGTGTACAGTCCAGAATAAACATATAGAAACAAAAAACACTCCCTTCTAAAAAACCTTACTCTGGCTCTTCAGCTAATGAGAGCTGTCTCTCCCTGCCTCCCAAATAAAGCAACCAGACTTCAAATACTTCAACTCTTACAAATCTTCGTCTCCTATTCCAAGTTATCATAGCAAAGCCATTATATTCTTGTTAGATTTTAACCTACTTTGATCCTGGAATCTTTCATTTATGTGAGCCCTGCTGTGTTGCTCTTGGCTTAGCTGCTGTTCATGTAAATCTACAGGGGTTGGGTTAATGCCAGTTCCTTCAAGATACAGTCGGATTCTTTGCCGCCACTGCCACCTTAGAAAGGAGAAAGAAGTTTGTATCATTAGCTGAAATATTCATTACAGAATTAGACAAGATCAGAGTCTTCACTCTCAAAGCAGAGCATCTTAAGATTGAGAGTTTAAATATATTCAGTCACATTCCAAGTTTTACTGCTTCCACTATAATTTCTAAATTTAGAAAGTTAATCATACTAAAATGTAAATACTTTACACATACTAATTTGTTACCAAATGGTTTTTGTATGTGTAAAATAAGAGGACACTGGCCAAAAGTAGTCTACAAACATTATAGATAACAACTCATCTTTTTAGGCATGTGATCCTAACTCATGAATTCATGACTGATGCAATGATTTTGAGAACAACTACCTCTCTGGTATTTATACAGCAATACATGCTGTATTTTTACCATCTTTTGTTTGTATTTGTAGATGTCCAGAAAAGCAGCTCTATCCACCCCTTTGTACCTACAGGCCACAAGTATGCTCCCGTTTTAAGAACCTCTCCTAGCCTAGGAACTTTAGGATGCTTAAGAGGAATTCAAATGACGAAAGAGACAGATATAGAAGGCATTCTTCCTTAAGCTGTTACAACATTCAGATTTTTAATTTTTTCCTAGAGGAGGTATCAATTCCTTTTTCCTCTTACAATTTAGAGATTATAGACAACAAAATAGTAATAGTAGTTTTGATTAAGAAAGCAAATCACAAGGGAGTGTTACGAGCACATCTTTTCTCAGTTCATACTGTTCATATCCAGATGAAAGTAACCAGCTTACATGTTTCCTGAAATTACAGCAAGGAAGACTTACACTTTATATGACTACATTACTAGTTTTTCCTCATTGTCATCCTTGCAGAGACACATTCAACACATCTTTAGTATAACTACCTACCTGTCCTTAAATTCCAAGTGTGGTTTTAGATAGTCAGGCAAACAGCATGCAGTGAATATCATTATGCTAGCCTCCTTACAATACTCATGCTAGAACATGTCAAAACTCCTACTGAATTACAAAATGGGACTGTACCCCTATTATACCCCTATTCTAAAATCCTGTTGCACCACTGACCATCAAAAAGAGAAACATGGGTAGTCTGATACAGTTTGTCGTTTGTAAACGAATAATTTTGGTTGTTCCATGGGACTACATGGTAAGTGCTTACACAGATTGTTGCACTGACTGACACCTCAAGGGTAAGGAGAGAAGACAATCCCCCTTTTCCAGTCCCTGGCGTGCCGCCGTCTTTATGCAACTCTGAGCCATCAGAAGCTCTTCCAGACAGGCTGATCCAGTTACCACCTATTTTAAAGTTACCTTAGGGCCAAATAAATCTGAGAACTGCCAACTGAAACACCCGCTCACGTCCTTGCTTAGCAGTATCAGTTCCTATTATTCTGGAAAAAAAACCAGGGAGATCCTTTCTGTTTCACCCTGGTGAGGTTTCAGCTCCACCATAAGCAACGACAGGAATATCAGCAACAAAAATACTACATGGCATCGAACAAAACATTAGAAGTGCCTAGATTATCAAGGGAGGTTAACCTGCATTAGCACTACCAGCTTTACCTAAGCAACTTAGCATGATGGAGAATTAAAAGCTTCTGTTTCTAAGTCTCAGAATATGTGAGTTGAAAGTACCTTTTCGTTTAGCAACAATACCTATTGAAACCCCTTCAGTTATTTATAATCAATTGTGATGACTTTATTCACCATTCACCTCATTTCAGAACTTTTCTACCGCACAAATACAGTTACACTTCAAGCTACAAACTAAATATGCTAGAAGTATAAACAAAACTCAAATTGGAATAGATACATTTTCACATGAATGACTTATGTCTATTCTGGAATGTTAACACACCACAGAACAATGTCTTTTTTTAAATAGTTATTTAAAAAATCCTCCCTAGTCTGTAATTTAAAGTTCAGCTTGCTTCCTTCTTAATTCAAGTGAGAGTCTTCTATTTTAAGAATATGTAGTATTGAAAATATCAAGCTATTTTAGCATAAAGAAAAGCTTTGCCTCAGACTAATTTGTTAATAAAATTTAAGCCAGTCTACCTTAATCACCAAAACTCCAGATGCAACACAATGACCACTTCCTAACTGTATAGGCTTCATTAGCTTCTATTAGTATGGCCCATCACTGTTACTACATACGGTTTTGAGTTTTAAAATAGGTAAACCAATACACCTTTTACAAGAATGCAGTTCCTCATTTATGAATTTGCTAAGTCAGAAAAGAAAAGTAATTACTGAAGGTCATAACAAAAGTCTTTTTGATGGAATTGGCAGTTAATTTTATCCTTTGTATTCCAATCTCACTCTTGACCACAAACGCATTTTTCAACATGGTAAATATCTACACAGAATTCACAATTTGAGGCATTATGAATTTACTAAGCATCGTCTGCTCCTTAGGGATTGCACATCATTAAGTATTTTCCAATCATAATATGTTTTGGAAAACCAGAGATCAGTGAATCCTACCTGAACTCACCACGATAAAGCTTCTGTAGTGCTTCAGGAAACGAGTGCGTATATCTCACAGGCAAGCATAAGTGACCCTCTGATCTGGTAGCAAAAAAAGGACAATGAAAATGACAGTACAACTATTAAGATTTGGTACCTTTAAAAAACGAAACAAAACAAAACAAGCATGTCTTTCTGTTACATAAAACAAAGCTACACTTGGACCTTTATGAACCTATACTATTCTTACATAATAGCACATCAGCAACAATACAACGCTTTCAGCTCCTGGGGTGTATGTGTGTGAGACGTAGGACGTTTCTCTCACATTTCCCCTAGAAACTGGCTGTCCATCTAGTAATCCTGCAGGAATATGTAGGTACTAATATAGCTCCTGTCACCATAGTTCTAGGCAAGGAATTCAAGCTTAATAAACCTTGCAAGTTAGAAAGAGAATTTCCTCCATTTACACACAAGTTAGTGATAAGAGACAGGTAAGCAACAGGTTTGCCTAAGATCAAAAGAATCTCCTGTCAAAGCCAGAACACTAAACACTGCTCCCCTTTCCTGAGTGATATTTGATAACTTGAAGGCACTTGTTATTTGAACCCTGCTATTCAGGCTTGATACTGTAGAATATCTATTCACAGCATTTGAAAAGTTTTGGAAGAGAAGTAAGGTATGGAAGGAATTAAAACTTTCGGTCACCACTTTCTTAGCTACTAAGACTAAATTAACTGGTAATATTGAAAACAGAAACCTGAATCTGGAAATCTCAGCAGGTAGAGCCTTGGTGAATTCTGAGTTTTACATGCCATCCATTTGAAGGTTATACCAACCAGTCAGTACTAATACACTGCATGCACCTGCCCAAATCAATCTTATGGCTAGGTGGATGCAACTTGCGTGGAGTTTACAACAGGACAACTAAATGCCATTAACTGGATGAAGAGACTGCATTCTCTGAGATATTACATGGTTTACATGAAGAAACCAGAACAAACTTCTTCATCTGAGCCACTATTGGATTTCCAATAGGATTCGTGTTCTTCATAAATAAACAAAGTTTCTGTGTGTTAAGGCACCACACTTAGCTGCTTCTGTTGAGTCCCTTTTCCCTGTCTCTGTTCTATACTGCCATCTCTAGCCTCAAACTTCTGGTTAGTAATACAAGTTAACTAGCTGCCAGTGCTGTTACCACCCGAATGCGAAAACAGCAGTGGTGTTTAACAGAGTCATGCTTATCCAGTACTACTTAATGTCCTCTCAGATGAGACAGGATAACTCATTGTGGAAACTCTTCCAACGAAACAGGTTCAGTTGATACTTACAATCCACTAAAACAGACATTTACACTGCCAAATGCTACAGGAATGCTTCCTGCATCATGAAAACAGATGCATATTGTGCCTGATATTAAATAAAGCATTACTTTCCCAAATGTGTTTTTACCTTTCAGGATCAGTATTTACTCCAATAACTGGTTTAAATTTATCAAAGACCTTACTGGCTGCCAACAACATTGTACCATCACCTACAGAAAAAGCGAAACAAAAGTTAGTTTCACTTCATATTCTAATATCCTGAACAAAATAGTCTCACATGTACTGTGGCATTACCACTATGCGCTTTTGTATCAACAACTGATCAGTTAAGTTGCATAAAAATAAACTGGGACCACAAAACTACTAACACCTTTCAAAGTAGAGTAGTGACAACCGAATTCAAGATGGCAAATGTGACTGGAAAAATTACAGCTTACCTGACAGCTACACATGCCCAGGGAACTGAATTTGGCAGAAGCAAATTTGAAAAGAGATTTATGGAAATTTCTGTATGTTTATCAGCTGGTAAGAGAAATTCTTTAAGAAAATAAATTTAGAAAGTATTGCTAATCAAAGCCACGGGAGACAGGAAACGATGCCAAATTTTACTGTGAATCACATGAAAACAACAACTTTACTTCTATTTCTGTTGCTCTCTTAGAAGGCACAATTTAAATGTCTTATTTGGCCCCAAACAGGCATGCTAGGAAAAGAAATCTTAGATAACACCTTCAAAGTAGAAATCTTTCAGTGTCATTGGTTTCTTCAGATACTGATATTCTTTCCTGTCTGTTAAACAGAAGGACAACTATAGCCTGCATCAGTCTTTGCACCAAGGTATAAGCTCTGAAAACCTCAGATGATGTATCACTTCCCAGCTGCTTGCCTCATAACCATAACAAATGTTGCTACAGCCAAACTGGCACTTTAATCTCCAGCTTAGAGGAGTTCTTTGACATCTACAGGAGTATATTAGGATGTTTCAGGAATGTACACATATCCCTTTCTACCCATTCCGCATCGTAACCAGTAGCAAAGGGCAAAGTGGACCAGTGGGGAGGAGAGAAAGGTAGAGCAGTCGTCAAGTCTAACTGCCACAGATCACCGAATCACAGAATGATCGGGGTTGGAAGGGACCTCTGGAGATCATCTGGTCCAACTCCCCTCCAAAGGAGGTTCACCTACAGCAGGTTGCACACGATCGCATCCAGGTGGGTTTTGAATGTCTCCAGAGAAGCAGACTGCACAGCCTCTCTGGGCAGCCTGTTCCAGTGCTCTGTCACCCTCAAAGTATAGATGTTCTTCCTCATGTTCAGATGGAACTTCCTGAGTTTCAGTTTATGCCCATTGCCCCTTCACCTGTCGCTGGACGGCACTGAAAAGAGTCTAGCCTCATCCTCTTGACACCTGCCCTTAGGGTATTTATAAGCATTGATGAGATCCCCTCTCAGTCTTCTCTTCTCCAGACTGAACAGACCCAGCTCTCTCAGCCTTTCCTCATAAGGGAGATGCTCCAGTCCCCTCATCATCTTCATTGCCCTCCGCTGGACTCTCTCCAGTAGTTCCTTGTCTTTCTTGAACTGGGGAGCCCAGAACTGTACACAGCAAATGACTGAACATTATGTCAAAGTCCAGCAACACACTGCAGTATTTGCAGCAAATCACAAAAATAACACTGATGAATTGCTGCAATCCAATGTTAAAAAGAAAGAATCAGGTTAGTTGCTCTGTTGGTTCATTTAAAAAGCTCTAATCAGTGGCACAGACTGCTCAGAAGTTGCATACTTTTACCTGTACCTTCCAACTAGATACTCCAGTCACTGCAATTGTGAAAGCAAGAAAGCAAGCTTGAGCTAGGGGAGGAAAAGGTAGTATGTTAGTCACCACCTCACATACCAAAAACCAAAGAGTAGGGTTTAGGGCTATGTATAATCATATGACAGCAAGCATTTTATCCTCTTTAGTTGAAAACTACAGTAAATTCCACTGTTTATAGTGTTTTACACAAGACAATTAAACATTTCCAAAGTGGCCACACACTGGGATTCACTTCTTAGTGCTACAATTTTAGATACTAGAGGTAGAGAGGATGGTCACAACCATTGCATTTTGTCATATTTTCTGACAATTAGATAAGCAATGTTTTCGAAACGTGCCTACCTCCAGATGCTTCACACACTGCAATATTCTTTTGAAAAATGTATCTATGAAAACATAGTGAAACAAATATTTCCCTTCCATAAAGTCGTACCTCCTGCTGATATAACAGCATCTGCCCACCGAACTGTCTCTTCATTATATTCTCGACGTTTAACAAGACGAACTTCTATCCTCTCGTTCCTATAAAGTGCAGAAAAAGCCTGAATATGTCCTATATTGTTCCTTGTCACATGTAATTAAGGACTAATTGCAGAGGTATTTGGCATATAAGCATTTGACGATCACACAAATCCTTTACATCTTTTTCGTTTGTTTTCAAGATAATAACGCAGTCTGCTAGTTAACTGAACTAAGCTACTTCACATTAATGTTGTTTAGGAATGACTGTTCATTTGCATCATCCTGTTTTCAGTATTCCTATTTTATTAGAGTTTGTAACACAAAGCTTCCTTTCATTGTTTTAGACAATCCACAGGTATTTGCACTGTCTCTGAAATTCTCGACATCCATACATTCTTACCGTAAACTGTCTACAACATGCTCCACGTTTTTTGTATGAATGCGGTGCCGCTCCAGCAGACCAGCATAGTTAGATCCCTTCAAGGCAAGCTGTAAGACATAAATTGATTTTGTAGAAGTTAATCACTTACAGTAAGTGCTCTTGAGTAATACAAATAGAAGCTATAAAAAAACATGTATTTTTTTCTCAGTAGAGACACGTGCTTTTACAAGCATTCCATTAATTACATCTCTATACACATACCATTCAGCTTACATTCACTAGTTCATTAAATGACTTACATGGCCACAGCAATCAAGAATCACAGACCTTTTAAGGGCTCTACACAAACATGCAAACAAGTATGCTACACTGACTTCTGTGCCACTTCAGACACTTTGCTTTCCCTGAATCTGCTAAGTAGTTTAGGTAAATCTACACAAAATAGTTACAATAACTATACTCCTGTCATGTGCTAAAAGCACCCAAACAGTTAGCTCATTGCCTTAAGAATTATAACCATTGTGCTATAGAGAAAGAGGACAACAGAAAAAGCAACAGGAATGACAATTAAGAAAACAGGAATCTTTGAAATACCTAGAGCATTAACCTTCAAATTGTATTTGAGCTAAAACGGAAGATTGCCAAGTGCAGGCAAAGGTGACATTTCCCCTGTGTCAAAAAAAGCTTAAGGACACTCTACCTACTACCTTTGACACTGTGCCCTGGATTATAGACCAGATTTTTCAAACCAATTCACATCAGTAAACAGATAAACAATATCTAGTAGTTGCATTCTAGCCTCATTCTTCTTGGAAGCCGGAGAATTTAAATACTTAATCTTGAGACATTCTTTAGACCATGCAAATATATTGCAGTTCATATAGACAGACTCTTATGAGCAAGCAGATGAGACTGCTGGCTGAAAATTAGGGGTTCTGCAACAGGTTTCTGAGTGAGTAATTCAGTCACCATCCGTATGGATTCATTCTTCACCTCACTTGCTGTGCTCATCTGGGGCTGGTACTGCCAAATATGTGTTTGCATGGAGATTAAGCAAGTCGAAGAAAGGGTGAAAAGGATGTTAAGCAAAACTTTATAAATACATTCATAACGAAAGTGATCCTGCTTTGAGCAGCAGGATAGACTAGACCTCCTCCTGCGGCTCCTTCTAGCCCGAACTATTCTACAGTTACACCGTCATTGCTTCCTTTCCCCTGACCAGTTAAAACCAATCTACCAGCACAGAAACAGAACTTCTCCTAGAGTTTGTGAAGAGAAATTAATCTGTGCCAGAAGCTTTGAACAGGCACTTCCAGCAATTTATTCAAGTGCCTTTACTCAAAGTTGCACAGTCTTCCAAGAGAAAGTGGTGCCAGACAGCCACATCTAATCCCATTTCCATAGAGACTCCCACACCACAGAACTCCACAGCGAAGGGGAGGGGACTGGCAGGATGTGACTATCAGAGTTAACTGTAATCCAATACCTAACAAATGTGATCTTTCTTCATCTGACACTCGCTGATGTCAAGCAATCCAACAACGACCTAAGCACGAACCAGACTCGGTGTGGAAGAAACTACAGAAAATAATGGAATTGGCCACTCTGGAACTGCATCGCTGTCCTGCTCAGTGTGTTTACAGTCAGCACTAACTTGCAAGAACAAAATCTTCAAGTAGTCTTACAGCTGGGATCAGGAAACCACCCCCAACAGAGGGGCTCCTAGACTTTGCCTGGATGCCACCAACAGCACTACAGGCAGACAGCGGCAGTAGCTGCCAGCTGTGCTTGGTCGCACACACAGATAAGCATGTGAGTGATCAGAAAACATCCAGGCAAGGCTTTCAGGTCGTTTTTGCAAAGCCTGTTAGTACTGGTTTACTGAGGTCCGGGGTGTTATGTCCCATCAATTGCCTCACACACTAAACCCCTTTGTTTCTACCCCCCAGCTACAATGCTTGTGCACTCCCGTACATCTCTTGCTCCTCCAGAGCCCATGGTGCTGCACTGGGAACTTGAACGGTGCCACTGTGCTGATGGTGGGAGGGAAAGATTACGCAAGGCTATGGCCAGCTACAGCACTGCCCATTGCTGGGTCTGCTGTCAGCCTCTCATGATCCATCTGGAGCAGAAAGAAGAAAGTGGAAAGGAGGAAAGAAGGTGGTATTCACCTCCCACAGACAACATCTGCCGCTGAGCACCACAGGTCCAATTTGCTAGAACAGGGATTTCCAATTGCACTTTTGAAGCACAAATTGACCTTGCTTTACCACCAGAACAGAGCAAGAAATTCACAGCAAATAACCTCAAAAAAAAATCAGCTATGTTACTAATATCAGGGTTGCCATTCATGCTTCCTCTAGAAATATCTGCAGTGAATGAGACATGAGCACCTGACAAGCAGGCTGCTCTTGCAGCGTACCTTTTTCAGGTTGCTATTTCCACAGGCTATTACTTGAACACACAAAAGAAACTGCAAACTTCCATCGTGCAATTTCATGTACCTCGTTTATTTGGCTAATTTGTCAGCATGCTATCTTTCAACTTGGTCGAAGAGAGCTTTTATCTCAAGAACAATGACAGTGTAATAAACCTCCGTATGATCATTTGCAGGTTTTTGAGCCACCAACATCAGTGGTGAGCCTACAGTTAACATTTCATTGGCATTACTAGCAAGCAGAGGTACAGGTAGTGTCATTGCTGTGGAAGAGTCTGTTCTGTAACTTACATTTGCCTTAGGTGTGTTAAATTATTTCATCAACAGCTTCAGAAAGCAGAAGAGGATGCTCAGCAAATAAGCTACCAGTACCCTGATGAACTGGCTGAATGATTTCCACGGATACTTCTACTTTTGCTAAGGGCAGCACCACAGAATAGGTATCTAATGTATTGAGGTCTCCTCTTTGAATTTCACTCTACAACAAGTAAGCAGGTATCACTAAGCAACAAGATAAACGAAAAGTTAAGGTCTTGAGTTTAAATGGCTAAGCTACATCTACGGAGTTAATGAATCGTCCTAATTTGCAAAAAGCTTCAGAGATTAAAGCAGTCTGCTCAACCCTAGCATCATCCCTCTAGCTCAGAGACAAATAACTCACAAGTTCATTCATCTAAGAACTGACAAAGGGACAGCCTGCCTGAACCTAACCACACTTGAGTGTATGAAATAGGAACGCTAATGATCAGCTGCATTTCATGTTACTGCTCCAAAGAACCAGAGAACTGCCTACAGCCCTTGTGGTCAGAGGCCACAGGATCTGAGAGTGGCTGAGGTGGGCAGGGACCTCTGGAGGGGATCTGGTTCAACCTCCCTGCTCACGGAAGGACACCTGGAGCCGCCTGCCCAGGACCATGTCCAGATGGCTTTAGATCTTCACAGATGGAGCCTCCACCACCCCTCTGGGCAACCTGTCCCTGTGCTCAGTCACCCTCACAGTGAAAAAAGTGTCTCCCAATGTTCAGATAGACCTTCCTGTATTTCAGTTTGTGCCCAGTGCCTCTGGTCCTGCCTCATATCCAGGACCTGAATGCCATACTGAAACTATTACAAACGCTGCTTCTTAATACAGCTCTGCACTGAGGATAAAGACGAAGACAAACTGAGACAACCACCTCCTTTTTACTTTAAAAGAATGGAAGGCAAAGATCAGACAGTCCAGTTGTTGTGTGCACGACCACCTCCTCAAAGACCCTGAGAGGAATTAGTGACGTACAGAAAACCCCCAACTGCAGGACAGCCTGGCTCCCGAGCCCACTGATCAGACAGGCCCACAAACCCATGCCAGGCTTGGGTCTTTCCAACCAATCCCTCAATAAGGCCTGCAGGTTTTAGCTTCTGCAGGAAGACAACTTGCAAATTCTTCTTCCTTCAGAGGAAGCTCTGATTTATGGTTGTCGCGGTTGTCCTTCTAAAAGGAAAGGGCGTGACAGGCCACTCTCCACTTTCAACGTCGGAGAGCAAGTCTGACAGTCTTACAGAGCAGATACCTTTATACCAAATATTGATATTCTTGGCTAAAATGTGAAAAAACAACTACTATGACAGACCCATGTTGAGTTTATTCGGTATTTCAAGCTGTACGGAGTAGCAATTTGATCTGTGTATCAAGCCTACCTGAAGAAAAGTGGAGTGATACCAAACCCCTGATAATATTTATGTAAGTAACTTTGTATAAGGTAGTTTCTTCAGGTTTTGTGTTTGAAAATCCTCACTAAGACTTAAATGAAGTAAAACAACAGAGCTCTGATGTTTTACAGGAAAAAGTTCTCAATCAAAGTAATCCTTCTACTTCATTTTACTACGAATGTTTTTATGAAAAATCACTTCCTTCCATGGAAGAGGCAGCTAAGTTTGGCCCATGAAACTGAAGAAAACCTTATAGAATTGAAAAAAATCTAAACTAAGTGTCATGGAGTAATAGTGTATACTCCTGCAAAACTTACCCATGCTAACACAGAAAACCTGAAAAATTACAATGAACATTAGGAAGCCTGCCAGTACAGTCAGTACAAGGACTATGCTGCAAAACACAAAACATTGAAACTCAGCGATATTCTTCCAGAAATCGCCGCACTGCAGACTGACTTTCTAGACATGGGCTCTCTTCTTTGCAGAGAGAAAATTAGAAAGGTAAAAG